AAAGGAGAAAAAACTAGCGATATACCCTAGCATCAATCTTCCATACATAATGGATCGCATTGAGCACAGCTTGGGTCACAGGCCGACCATCCAACACACCAAGCTGAGGACGTTTCTCTGTTTATATAAAAAAAAACTGGAAAATACGACAATAGTAAAGTCCGTAGACATAAAGTCTCATTCAAAGAAAAATTATCAGAGGGAGATCGCTGCTTCATCAGCTTCTTTGGGGGGGTCCTAGGTCACAGGGGTCTTGGAGACCCCTGATGTCTCTATAAAGAGGACCTGTCACATCCTCTTTGCGATTACATAGGGGGTTTTCTTATCCACCTATGTGATGGCAATAAAGTTAAAGTGACATTAAAGTAAAAAATCTTTTTCCCTCCCCCCAATGTTAATTAAAGCACTTACCTTAACCCTTTCGCTGCCAAGCCCTCCGAAACATTTTTCAATTCAGCTGGACACGCCATTTTTGCCATTGATTTGATTTTCAACTGCTGCGTTGCTAGCGTTTGTAAAAGACCCCCCAAACCATGTATTTTTTGGAAGCGCAGGCCCGGTAGAATAAAAAGATGGTGAATCTAAATTTGTAGGCCGTGCGATTAATTGCGCAAATGTTTCTCGAATTAATATTAAACCGATAAAAATACACAATTCAATTGATAAAACACTAAAATCAGTATCCGTGCACAAAAAAAATTATTTTCTGACTTAATCTAAATGATAAAACTGTTAAGTTAATAAATAACACCTATTTGCAAATTTGTAATTGCGCCTTTTTGCGCAAAGTTAAAAAAAATGAAGGTACACAAAACTGTAAAAAAGCGACTTATGTTAAAAATTGTTCTTATGCTGTGTTGGTGTTTGTGTTGTGATAAAATGATACAGGCATATATTTAATTGCAACCCCCTATGTGTCCCCAGTTATTTACAAACACTGGAGTGATCAGACGATCACTCCGGTGTTTGTGCTGCACAGAAGATCGGTAAATATCAATTATATTTATCGATCCTCCGTTTGGCCACGCACAGAGCAGCTGTCATCCGGAAACTGACAGGATGACAGCGGCTCCGTTCTCCTCACCGCTCGGCCATCCTGAAAGTTGCGGCTTCTCCCTGCCAGACGACGCTTGCTCCTCCGCCCCCCTAACCCACCCATCCCCCCGCTGGAGTTTTTGTCTCAAGCGGGGGACAGCAGCGGCGATCTTTGGAGTCGCAGATCCCTGCCTGGAGTCGGCAGGGAAATTAGTTACCGGCTCCAGATGCCGGCAACTCATTTCCCATTGATTTGATTTTCAACTGCTGCGTGGCGACCACCCAAACCATATATTTTGTGAAAGTGCAGGCCCGGTAGAATAAAAAGATGGTGCTACTAAATTTGTAGGCCCTTTGATAATTGCGCAAATGTTTCTCAAATGAATATTAAACCGATAAAAATACACAATTTAATTGATAAAGCCCTAAAATCAGTATCAGTGCACACAAAAAATATATATTTTCTGACTAAATCTAAAAGATAAAACTGGATTGAGTTAATAAGTAACAAATATTTGCAAATTTGAAATTGCGTCTTTTTGCGAAAAGGTAAAAAAATGATGGTATGCAAAACTGTAAATAAGCGACTTATGTTAAAATTTGTTTTTACACCGTGTTGGTGTTTGTGTTGTGATAAAATGATACAGCCGTATATTTAATTGCAACACAAGGTATCACAACGCACGGCCATGCGTCACAAAGCTTTGCCATGCGCTGCCACAATTAATTTAATGGGGTTTTTTTAAACAAAAAATCATGCACTGCGATGCGTTCTAACAACGCTGTGCATGGCGTACACCTCGTGTATGTTATGTGGGGGCAGGGAGGTTATGAATGGGGAGGAGCCTCTGTAGTGAGTGCTAGTCCTCATTCATAACTGGGGACATTTATTACAGACATTTATTAGTTATTTACAAACACCTTAGTGATCTGACGATCACTCCGGTGTTTGCTCTGCACAGAGGAATTGTTATATATCAATGATATATCAATGATCCAAAAACTGACAGGTTGACAGCGGCTCCGATCGGAACACTGCTCGCCCCCTCGCCGGCCAATTTTAATCTGATCCCCACTGCTGCAGACCCTACAAGTGGGGGACAGCAGTGGGAATCCATGGAGTCTCTCATCCCTGCATGGAGCAGCTTCAGGCAGGGATGAGAGACTCCAGATGCTGGCGGCCGGCAGCAGCGGTGCCGGAGGTGGTTGGGGGGCGCCCGTTATTTTCGTTAATAGCTTTTGAGCCGCTGATGACAGCTATTATTTTGAAGGGGACAGTCTGCTGAACAGTTCTGCTATAAGCTCATGGTCGCTAAAGCGACCATGAGCTTATAGCAGAACTGTAAATGCCACCGACGTAAGGCATACTGAGCTGGCCAGCCGGGAACACTTTTTGTTCCGCCGTATGCCTCAGTCGGTGGCAGCGAAAGGGTTAAATTGTTTCTTATCTGATCTTTCCTGTCAGGGGTCTTGGAGACCCCTGATGTCTCCATAAAGAGGACCGGTCACCTCTTTTGCTATCACATAAGGGGGTTTCTCAGCCCCCTCTGATAGCAATAAAGTTAAGTGGAAAAACAAAATAGTAAAAAAAATGTAAAGTTTCCCCCCAAATTTTTTTAAAGTTACACAAAAAAGAATTTAAAAAAACAAAAACATTTTTAAAGTCCCCACCCCTACATACACGCATGTAAACATGCGTCAGGTGCGCATACCTGCGAAAACGACGATTGCGCCCATTACGCCGCACATGTTACATATCGCCGCGAACGTCGGAATGAGAGCAATAGTTCTAGGGCCATCAATCACTGATAACACTAAACGGTAAAAGCTTTTAAAGCGTCGCCTATGGCCAATTTTGGGTATGCTAGCTTTTTGCGAGTGCGCGCAATTTTTAAGCTTAACATGTTTGGTGTCTATTTACCTGACGTGACCCCGACTTTTATATTTTACCAAAAAAGTTGGTAATATTAGTTGTTTTTTATAACATAATGTTAAAAAAAACTTTTCAACATTTTCAGTAATTTCTCCTGAATATAGTAAAAAATAAAACCCCCAGTGGTGATTAAACACCACCATAAGAAAGATCTATCTGTAAAAAAAATGGTATAAAATTCATTTCAGTACAGCGTTGCATGACGGAATAAATGTCAGTCAAAGTACTGCAGCGCTGAACACTGAAAAATGGCCTGGCCAGGAAGGGGGTCTAAACACCTGGTCTTCAAGCGGTTAAAGCTTGACATGTTTGGTGTCTAATTACCCAACGTGACCCCGTCTTTTATATTTTACCAAAAAATTTGGTAATAATAATTGTCTGCTAACATAATGAACTTTTTTCCCCCAAAATTTTCAGTAATTCTTCCTTAATATAGTAAAAAATAAAAGCTGCAGTGGTGATTACCACCAAAAGAAAGCCCTATCTGTCCCCCAAAAAATAGTATACAATTAATTTCAGTACAGCGTTGCATGACAGAATAAATGTCAAGTACTGTAGCGCTAAATACTGAAAAATGGCCTGGCCATGAAGGGGGTGGAAACACCTGGTTCAGCAAGTGGTTAAAGCATGAATTGGCCTTATAGGCCCTACCATGCAATCTGCTGTTGTCACCATGTCAGACCTTATCAGTATGGTTCAGAATGTATGGCGAGGGACCCTGGGGTCATCTTAACAGACCCCACTGCTCTCAAACAGCAAGATCATTTTTCTGTAGCCCTGTGCAGATACCATCAGGCAATTCTCCAGGATAATTCTCCTGTCTGTCTACATGCAATGGCTCCTATGGCATAAATGCTGGTCATCAGTGCTCCCATGCATAAATTGCTTGGGGTACATGCTCTCTGCTGGGGAACTTCTTTTTTGCAAATGGCAAGAGCACCTTCTTACCTCAGAAGTCCAAGTCTGCAGTAGCAATAGTATATAAAGTTATTTTCGACCAAGCCTGGGTCTTCCCTTTAATCGGGGAAGGGGGGGGGGACACCCCCATAAATCTGACAGCAATTTGCAGAAATTGGGGTCGCCTGATTTTTTTCTATGTTTGCTTTCAGGAGGATAATTAGCGGAGCCGCGGAGGGAAAAACAAGCTTATTAGTCTGTGGAGGTTAATGGGGAATTTTTTTGAGGGGTCGATCGGCTGCCTCCCCATGGTGGGTGGAATTACAAACAGGTGTTGCGCTGTTGAACTTACGAAGATCTCCGCAAAGACTGATTGGATTTTTTTGATGCCCTAGATTAGCTTCCTTTTCAGGGAATCATAGTTCCTGTTTGGAAGCAGAGAGCATTTTCAGGAGTTCCATTGTAGCCAGTTCACTGGACGCAAAGGAGGGGGTCCCCCCTATTCTCACTTGCTCAGTGCATCCCTTCACCTGGGAAATGTACTTTCCTCAATGGATATAAAGTATACATATTTGCACATCACCATTTTTCTTGCCCATGAATTCTACCTGTGTTTTGCTGTGGATGTCCACATGTGCAACACTAGCAATTTATTGCATTTCCATTCATCCTATCCACTGCACCTTGGTCTTCACCAAGGTGCTGACCCCTTTTTTAGTTTTTTTGCTTTGTAATGGGCTACTCTTTGACAAGCTTCTTCTCAATGAGCAGTCGACATGAGCAGTCGACAAGAGCCTTATCTTGGAACACATCAAATAACACCAACCCTAAAGATCATCAGATTGGTTTAAAATTCCCCAACAGAAGTGAATACTTCTGATGATGCATTTTAAGGGTACATTTTAAGAATGCATTGCTCTCCAATTCTTGCTACTGACAAACATCACTAGCATTTTTCTCCAAGGTAGTTTTGCACGTACATTTAAAACCAGACTAATACAGTCTACAATAACGATGACTATTACTAGCGGCACTTAACCCAACTCTGCACAAAATGTAGCTTTATATTTTATTATGGTATGCTTTATTAAGCATATGTCCTGTTCAACCTAACAAGAACCCTCTTATGTTGTAGGATATAGATACTGCCCTTGTTTCGGATACAACAGATGATTTATGGTTCTTAAATGAAAATCGGTCAGATCAAATCAATGTGGAGGTAAAAATGGAACACATGGAGTCGCAAGATAGTGAAGACGAGGATGTAAGGGAAGATGAGAGTAAAAAGGTGAATATTTTAGTCCAAAAACCAAATCCATATTTAGAAATGAATCTATTCTATAGTTAGAAATTATAAAACATGATTTGTAGTTTTTCAGCAATGTGTGAATTTTATATGTAAAATACCAGAATGATAAACCTCAACAATGAACTGCTCTTATTTGTTCTCTTTTGGTCATGGAAAGGTGAATTCAGTGATAAATATTGTTTAAATACATGAGGCATGTGAATTGTTACTTGAATCTTGATGTGGTTTGTGTATTTTATTTTAAATCTGTATAGTGATGTAGCGTGAAACTTTGCCTTCGCGTTAACTTCCTGTAATAGTCCAGTCACTGGAACTCTCCTGGTGCAGGGTGACTGGTCTTTTATCTGCCACCCTCCTATAGTTTCCTGCACACAGCCTTTAGTAGGTGGGCCTGCTGGGTCTATCCCACAGCTCTGCACTCTGCGCAAGCTATGTGCAGCTCCATAATGTTCTATTTCCAGAAGGTAATAATTGGGTTTGCATAGGCATTTGATGCCCACAGAGTGGATTTATTCTCTTTGTGGCTTTTGAAGAATGTATTTATTTTTGTGCCGGAGTTTAGCTTTAAATATACAATTCAGACCCAGAAGCTTAGCGATGGCGGAGTGCGCACGTCTATCACTGGAGCTTTGCAGTACTCTCACCCGGTTGACGAGCTAGCTGATTCCCCTGTCTTTCTCAACCCTATGCCCAAAGAGAGCAAGACCCGCAGGCACACAGGGTGACATCCGTTCTACAGCCTGTTTCACCGCCCGGGCGTGGAGACCTCCCTGCTGACTTCGAGATCCAACATGGCGCTCACACGTTCCTTACCAGCCGCAACCGCGTCAGATAAGAAGGGGACCCGAACACTGACCGCTGCTCAATTGCCAGCTTACAAGACCCGGCAGACTCCCCTATTTTCTCACCGGAGATCCCTGACTTGGCATGCCCGGCACCATGCAAAATCTCCTCCCCCTACTCTCCACTAAACGGGGCCTAGAGCACATTGCATCCTCAATTGTGGACGCTCTTAAAAGGGAGATACAAGATATCAAGCACCACATTACTTCCGTCGATCAGAGGGTGACCGTGGTGAAAAACACCATGTCCGAGTTAACCTCTCGTGTCCTGGTGCTAAAAACAACCTCGGCAGCCACCCACACTCGTATCCTCTCCATGCAACTCTGCATAGATGGCGCCGAGAACCGTAACCGCAGAAACAACCTCCGGCTGCGGGGCATCCCTGAGGCTACAGACAGTATCCATCTCCAAGAATCTGTAATCGCCATCCTTAACCAGCTCCTGGGTAAGCCTCCAACAACGAGGATGGAGCTAGATCGTGTACATCGTGTGCAAGGGCCACGACAATCGAATTCTTCATTACCACAAGATGTCCTCTGAAGGGTGCATTTCTTCACGGTTAAGGAGAAAATAGTCAGTCAGGCATGGAGAAAAGGGCCAGTGGAATTTGACAGAGCATCAATACATATTCTCCCGGTCTAGGAACACCCTCCACATGCGTCGCATGCTTCATCCTCTCGGACATGATCCGGGCCACCGACGCCACATACAGATGCCCCATCCTTTCCACCTGGTGGTGAGGTGTAACAGCTCTTCTCTCCAGCTCCACACTCCTGCTCAACTTCCGGCATTGTTTGGTTTCTTGGTGTCCCAGCCCATTAATCTCCCAACCAGTTGGATTTCCCGGAGGACATGCTGGAAGCGACCCCACTACCTCCCAGACCACCCCGAAGGGGCCATTCTCGATCTTGCTCCGGTCCTCCCCAGTGTGGAGATCCCGTGCCCCCTCCGACTGGCCCTGAACTGTGATCTCGGTGTGGCCTGCCCTGTGATGTCCCCCCTCAATTACTGAACTTGTCTTCTGGTCTGCCTTGCCTACCCCAGATTCTTCCCTGACCCACGGCGAGATTGTGCTCCAGACGCCCCTTTCTGCACTCATATGTGAAATGTACCCTGTCCTGACCGTACTTATATCCTTTTGACTAATGTGTTCAGTATGATTGCAATACCTGGCTTGTACTGTTTCCTTGAGTGATTTTACAAACGAGGGGGGGAGCAGGAGATGTGCTGGGTGTCCAGCACTACAGGGATTGTCCTGGGAAATGTTTCTTACTGCCCCATTTCGCCACACACTGGTGTGACGGCTGAGGTGGAAGGTACGGACCACAATGCCCCAGCTTGTGCCTTAACTTTTGTACTTTCTATTGAAAATAGTGTTGCTTCTTCTGCCTTCTCCCGTCCTTACTCATCCCTGTTGAGGACTGTGCTGGAGGGAGGGGGGGGGTGGAGACGCGAGACTTGGACGTGGAATTACTATGATTGTGTCACTGTATTCCATCTATCCCATACGATTTTACAGTCCCGGCTCTCAGCCCCTAGAGGGAGTTTAAAAGTGGTTAACGGTAATAAGATGGTTGTGTGGACCTTCCAGATAACCGGTGTCTCATTTTGAGGCACCCGGGAATATTTCCCTGCTTCTACAGACATTCACAGCAGGAGTAGTGGGCTGGTTGTTACAGTGACCCGCAAGGCTGGGATAGTGTGCCCTGGCTGTGAGCCCTGAGATTACACCACCTGTATGTCCTTATATACACCAGTTATGGGGGATTCATTGGTGCCCTGTAATTACATATACCAACGGCTGTACCACGCAGTTTTTTAGTTTTTTCTGTTTTTGGTTCTTCATATTGATGCACAATGACCGAGTGAGGGTGTGCTATCAGTTAAACCTGGACCTCAGATGGGCTGCCCTTTTTCAAATGCCGACCTCCTTTCTATTCATTCGTGGCAATTCTGACTGTATAACTGATGGATATATGCATGTTTGTTCCACTTATTTGATGACCTGTTGTGTGAGTATTTGCATCTCCTTCTTGGTTTTTCACTATTAATTTCATTAACTGTCCACCTCCTAATAGGCCAGACCCTTTCCCTCCTAGTGAGTAAGGGTCTCTTTACTTGTTATAGTGCTAGCTTTCCAACTAGCCTTATCTGTTTTTCCTCAGTGCATGGAACTGCTCTGAGGTCAATTTCCCTTATCTTATCTTGACTCCTTTTTCACCTCTCCCCTACCCCTTGCTCTTCTGCTCTCCTCTCATCCCCTTTTGTCCCAAACTCTGTGCTTTCTTCTGCGTTGTCCTGCCTTCTCTGTGTGCCAGGTACATCCCAGTGGGGGACCCACGAACCCGCTAGTCAACATGAGTCCGGTGAAATTCACCTCGCTCAATGTCAAGGGCCTCAATATCCCTGAGAGGAGAGTGCGACTCCTGGTGGACCTGAAGAAATGTGGTACGCACATTGCCTTCTTACAGGAGACCCACTTTAAAAAGGATACGTTTCCGAATCTCCACAACAGGGATTTTCCGTTGCGTACCACTGCCCGACCCCTATCTCTAAATCCAAAGGTGTAAGCGTGCTCATTGCTAAGTCGGTAGCATGTTCTTTTCGCAATCTCCACTTGGACCCTGAGGGCAGGTATATCTTTGTTACGGGCCTGATTGGTGGCACCATGGTTACTCTGATAAACCTCTACCTCCCCAACTCTGACCAGCTGTCCTTTCTAAGACGTGTTGTCCCACTGATCCTGGAATTCGAGGAAGGGTTGGTGATTTTGGGAGGAGACCTGATCTTTGCATTGGATCCCGTCCTGGACGTCTCCAAAGGTTTTTCGCATCTTTCTTACTCTCGGCTCAAACAGCTCAAAGCTGAGTTGCATGTACTACGCATGAATGATGCATGGCGGATCCTCAGTCTCGTCACTATACGTACTATCCAGTGCATCGTGCCTACTCACGCATTGACTATTTCTTTGTGCGACATTCGGGTCTTGCCTCAGTCCGCAATGCCTCGATTGGCAACTTCTTGTTCTCAGACCACGCCTCATTCATATCCTTATGGACCTTGGTCCACCGCCGACTCGGACGTCTTCCTGGCGTCTCAACGAATCTCTCTTGCAAGACCCAGTGATCAATGCAGATCTGGAAGCATCCTTGGGAAATTACTTCCTGGAAAACACCTCACCCCCGATGAATCCGCTTGTCCTATGAGAGGCCCATAAATGTGTTATCCGGGGAGTGCTGATCAAACACGGGGCGCGACGGAAATGTGACAATGCATGCACTCTTACACACCTTTTCACCAAGCTACATGACTTAGAGATGCGTCACAAGCAATCCCTAGCGCAGACCCATCAGCAAGAGCTTCTCCAGGTCAGACTGGAACTCAACCATCTTTTATTTTCTCAGGTTCGACGACGTCTTTGATGCGGTAAGCGATCACTATACAAGTTCTCTAACAAACCAGGTAGATTACTGGCAATGGCTCTCAAGGGTCCCCGATCTAAGGCTTCTATTCCATACCTGATTTCTTGCAGGGGACGCAGGCTTTATTCCTCAGCGGAGATGGCCACAGAATTTCAGACTTAATATGATGGCCTATATAACCTTGCAAGGGTCCCTTGGGACCATGGGGAGCAGTCAGCAGGCTCATATATTAAGGACTCTGGAATGCCATCTCTCTCACGGTCAGACAGCTACCTGGTGGAGAGACCATTTACTGGTGAGGAATTTAATCTTGCACTCAAACACTCTAAGCCGGCTAAGGCCCCGGGACCAAACGGCTTTACCTTACTATAAACGATTCTCCCATATTCTATGCTCTCATTTTCTTGCTGCCTATAATGCTATCCTTTCAGACTCTCCTATACCACTTGATTCACTACGTGTACACATTGCGGTGATCCCGAAACCTGACAAAGATCAGTCCCAGTGCAACAACTACCTACCCATATCCCTACTGAATTTGGAGCGGAAACTTTTTGCTAAAATGATAGCCAACAGGCTTCTGCCCCATATTCCTACTCTAATACACACAGACCAAGTGGGTTTTGTCCCTGCCAGGTAGGCTCGAGACAAAACTTTCAGGGTCCTCAATGTTATCCACTCTGCCCGATCGCGCTCAACCCCCCTGATGCTCCT